ATGATCATGGTCACGATGACGATGATCGTGGCAACGATGAGGAGGAGGACGAAGAAGAAGAAGAAGAATGTTCATCAATTTATGATCATCATCAAAGATGGAGGAGTGGGGAAAATGTTGGGATGCCATTGATGGGGGGACACCAGCTGAAATCAACTGTGTCCGTTGATTCAACCAAAGAGTTTGAGTTGTTGAATGAGGTGGAGAAGAGCAGGCTATTTTGGGAAACTTGCTTGGCCTCATGAGACTTTGCTTAATTTCTGAGTGATCAATTTTTTCAATTTTGTTTTCTCTTTTTTCTTCAAAAAGTGGAGTGGAAGGGGAAAATTAAGCTTGGTTATAAAAAGCAGGTTTGGCAAATTACGGGAGGATTTGTGTTTAAAAAAATAATTCCTGTATTTTAAATGATATTGCAATTGTACATAACAGATTCAGATATATGAAGACATAATTGTTCTCATCATCTCTCTCTCCATTTCTATCAGATTGGCATTAGATTTGTACGTTTGGTTTTTGTGGGTGCTCACGGTGAATCCACTTACTCCAATGATGAAATTACGAGGTGCGTGGTGGCTGTGGCCGTGATGAATTGTGTCAACGGACTGAGTCTTGATTGGATCATCATGTGTTTCGCTTTGACTTTTTTGTTTATTTAGCCTAATTGCAGTTTATCTTTATGTTTATTTCTTGTAACATTTTCTTCTACCAATGAAGTTTATGTTTGCAAAAAAAAAAAAAAAAAAAAAAAAAAAAGAAGTTGACATACTGTTGAAAATGCGAACTATTTGGAGCTCAAAAAGCAGTGGTTTTCTGATGAGATTGCTTTCCACTTTCTTCAAAGTAAAATATATATTTTGAGGTCTAGTGGTAGATACAGCAATTGTTCAACAAATTACATGTTAAAACGAAAAGGCTAATTCCTTATATTTGTTTAAGGAGAATTTAGGTTCGCATCCTTTATTTTACTACTTCATTGATTAAAATTCTATTCTTTTTCAATTTCTGATCAAGTTCCTGGTATTAATAACATTATTAATTATGTCAATAATAAAATATTTTTATTTCTAAATATATTCATTTACTGTTAAAAATGTTACAATTAGTATCTTTATATTTATAGCTAAATTTTTTTACATATATTTTCATTTTTTATTTGCAACTCATTTTTAATTTGCAACCCTTTTTTAATTTGTACCCATATATTAATTTCTTTTTGCACCCATATTTTATAAAGTTTTATTTGTATTTGTACCCGTTTTTAATTTTGCTAAATGTAACCATGCTAATTATATGTACCATTCATGTAATTTTTTTCAAATTTTTAATCTTCAAATGTACTCATTCTTAAATATACCAATTTGTTATATGTAAAATGTACCATTTTGTTTTATTTAAAATCTATTCAATTTTTTTTTTCTAATCCATTTTTAAACTTATGTGGGTACATTCTTTTTTCTTTGATTTGAGAATGTATCCATGTTAAGTTTAATCGAAGAAATTTACTAAATTTATTTAGCCAAATATCTTCTTCTTTTTTTTTTCTTTTTTTTTTCTTTTTTTTTTTGTGATTTTGAAGAATGTACTCATGTTTTGATACAATAATTTTTTGGTTATTTTTTATGAATGTACCCATGTTTATACACACACACAAAATAGTATATTTATATTTTAATATTTTTAATCCCACAAATTATGGTTTTTTATTTAAAATCTCATTAATATAAACAACTATAAATTTCAATTTTTAATTTAAAATATATAGTAACGTATATAGAAATAAATTATCATATTAAATTCAGGGACTTGGATCAAAAATTGAAAACCAACAAGGTTTCAGTCAGATAATATTCATAGTTAGGAACCGCATCCAATGTGACAGCCTGTCCCGAATAGGTATATTATTTTATCCTCGAGAGTAATGGAATGATGATTTTGCCCTTAAACGTTGTGTGGTGTTGTGTGACATGCATTTTGTCACATCCCGACCCGGGGCGAACCACTTCCCGGGCCCACTCCACCACCGTAGCACGATATTGTCCGCTTTGGGCTTACCATTCCCTCACGGTTTTGTTTTTGGGAACTCACGAGCAACTTCCCAATGGGTCACCCATCATGGGATTGCTGCCCCCTTCTCGCTTAACTTTGGAGTTCCTACGGAACCCGAAGCCAGTGAGCTCCCAAAAGGCCTCGTGCTAGGTAGAGATGAGAATATACATTTAAGGATCATTCCCCTAGGCGATGTGGGATGTCACAATCCACCCCCCTTAGGGGCCCGACGTCCTCGTCGGCACACATGTGATCAGGGATAGGCTCTGATACCAAATTGTCACATCCCGACCCGGGGCGGACCACTTCCCGGGCCCACTCCACCACCGTAGCACGATATTGTCCGCTTTGGGCTTACCATTCCCTCACGGTTTTGTTTTTGGGAACTCACGAGCAACTTCCCAGTGGGTCACCCATCATGGGATTGCTCTAGCCCCCTTCTCGCTTAACTTCGGAGTTCATACGGAACCCGAAGCCAGTGAGCTCCCAAAAGGCATCGTGCTAGGTAGAGATGAGAATATACATTTAAGGATCACTCCCCTGGGCGATGTGGGATGTCACACATTTTGGTGGTGGTCCAATTCATGTTTTCCTTATTTTTTGGAACCAATTAGAACTTAGGTTTTATTTTAATTTCTTTTTCTTTGGTTGGCTGCCATCTGGATCACACACACACATCCAATCCCGTTGACTCTATCTCTCTACTCCCTCTCGAATTTTCTTTTCATTTTCTTACAACCTGCACAGACAACCCTCAAAACCCTTTCAAACATCACGAATCAAGGTCGTGAATGGTGTTTTTGGACTCCTTGTAAGCTTAGGAGTCAAATGATGGTGGTGGCTGGACGTGAAAACCTCGGAAACCTTTGAAACCAGAATTCCCGATTTGGGTTATTGTTCATGCAGTTGTGATTGTGGACTTTTCTCCGAGTTTTAAGGTTCTAGGGAGTTTTAGGACGCCTTCACGAAGCTCGGGGAGTAATTTTGAAGTGTTTTGGACGTCGGGAAGCTTAGTTTTGGAGAGTTGCAGTGGTGGCCGGATTATCGTGGGTTTCCGACGAGATCCAGTTGGATTTAAGTCCTAAAAGTGATAAGATTTTGTTTTACTCGTTGTAAGCTTCATTTTGGTACAAATTTCATGGATTTTGGTTAAGAAGTGAAGAAGTTATGACGATTATAAGTTTTTCCAGTTTCTGGCGACGCAAACGGCGGGAGGCAACGGCTCCAGCAAGGATCACTGGAGAAGACGAAGAATATTCCGTCAACTTTGACGGAATATACTAACGGCATCAGGTATATTTAACGGTATATTCTATTTTTGGACGGAATATTCCCTAATGCCGTTAGGGTTTCTGTATGTGTGGCACGCACGTGCCTGCGCGTGGGTAGTTGGAAAATTTTTCTAAAAATATGGGGATGTTCGTGGTGTTGAGTAGATCACGTTGGTATATTCAAACACCCCATTTAAGTAATGTATGAGAAGTTATTAGCTAGTTTCATTTATGTGCCTTAATAAATTAACGTTTATATAGTTGTTTTGTATATAGGTGAGACCTATCCTGAAGACGAGCGCAGTCAATCGAGGCTTGGGGGTTACGACCCTTCCACATATCAGTGAGTGGGCTTTTGGTTTTTCGTATATACCTATATACTTGAGATTTTTCCCAGAAAATCGATTAAATGAAATTGTGTTTATAAATGCCATGCATATTGGTTTATGCTTAGACTATGAATTTGTATGATATGTGCATATTGTAATTTGACGCAGTGGATGCTCAAGTAAGCACCAAGTGAGTTATAGATTGTTTATCAGAATTCATGATTATGTGAGACATGTTGAGAGCTCATAAACTTGAACCCCGGTGTTAGTGCTCCTGCTCAGAGTTAGGCACAATCCTTCACGTGATGTTCACCTCCAGCACCATACGCTCATCTTAGATCCAAGTTAGGTGCACAGTCTTGTCGTACAGACCACTGTAGGTGGTTCCGACTCGTAGATGACCCGCGATCATTCACAGAGTCTTCACGTGATCGTAGCAGTTGAGCATATTTATTTACACATAGTCCTGTTGTACAGACCACTTTAGGTGGTTTCGACTCGTGTGCAAGTATATTTGTTGAGATGTGGATTTGAGCCATACAGGTCACATTAGGTGACTCCGGCTGACATATTATTTGCATTGATTTATATCACCTGACTTACATATTTTTATGTTGAGATATTCGACATGGCATATATGTGAATTTTGCTATTCTAAGCATGGTTGTGGTATAGAGGTGTATTCTATTTTCTGGGAAATTACATAGGTTTTACGGCGAGGGGTTACTATCTTTGATAATTGAAATGGTTTTGAAAAGCTTTATTTTTGCCCACTCTTTCTGTTTTGCGCCCCTCCAGGTTCTAGTTAGGAGTGTTTTTTGGTGGTTTGCGAGGAATCCACGGCAGTTCTGACATATTATCACCATTGTATGGTCATCTTTGGGTGTTGTATAATTAGTATTCGTCTTGCTGGACTGCACTTAGGCTACTTATGCTTTGGTTGTGAATTCACACTTATTTCGTCTTGCACCTTATCTTATCTTATCTAGTTACTTCCACACTGTACACATGGCTATGTCACCTTCACGTGATAGCCAACACACCTTGATGTCGGTCGGGGTATGTCATCCAAAGTCTTCATTTGTTTAATTTTCTTTCCAAACATCCATGGATAATGTACATACGGCATACAACAATGTCTGATGTACGTTACAAATCGAACGGTAATTATTATTCTATTTTTAGGAGGAAAATGTGGACGTGTCCAATATAATAGATACAATCACCGATATATGTTATACATTGTTGTATGATAAAATTTTCTCGGAATATATTAAATTTCGAACTCACGAAAATGTTTCATTACGCATATTATGAACTACAAGAACATCAGGATACTACAAAAACACATAACAAGCAGAATTTCAGAAATAATGATTCAATCTCCCCATGATTTCAACAACAGACTTCCACACAAGCTATCCAGAACATGAAAGAGAGAGGTTAGAGTTCCTAACCGTAATGGTCCTAATTCTACTACAAATCCAGCATAAGTTCAGCCCAAAGCTGTACCCTAACTTGCTAATCAAGTCAGAATTCAAACCACAAGCAAGCTTTCCCAAGCTTGGTTCAACTAAATCTTCTCACAAACCATTATATAATATACAAGAAACTTGACTGTGGAGAGCAAACTAAATCTCTAGAGAGTATGCGAAAATGAAGCGCTGGTGAATTAGACTCCGCTTATCTGTCCACTGTCTCTATTTTATTCCTGTTTGAACTCGATGCTGACGAAGGGCTCTCCATTTGAACATTAGTTTCCTCAGCTGCCATACATTTCCCTGATGAGGCTTCCCCGTCACTCGTAGTACTGAGGGCGGAGTTCCCATTTTTGCTGTCACAAAACGATGTGCCAGAGTCCATGTTGAAGCTCATGCAACTTTGAGGGCTCAGATGTTCCCCGCACAATTCGCCTGTTGGTTGATCTGCCACCACCAAGCTGTTTCCGGCAGTTTTGTTCTCTCCTAAGTGCCTTAATAAACACTCTTCTATCTCACTTACTGATCGAACTTCATCTTCATCTTCGCTGCTGTGGATGGAGTGCGTGTTTTCATCATAGTCTGATGTTGGTCCCTCTAATTCAGATCTAATATCCATTTCCTGCTGACTATCATCAGAGTCTTCATCGGTTTGATGATCAGATGAACAAGATGACATTGGTGAATATCCTCCAGTTTCATCATTCTCTTCACGCTCTCTTAGCGTCTTCATAATCAGTGTCTTTAGCAAATTCATTACTTGAACAGCGTGCATCAAAGCCGTCAGAGGATCAGACATCTGGTGGGGAAAGAATTTGCAAAAAGGGCTTAATTGATCAACCTTAATCATTGAGCAACACTAGGCAAAAAAAAACATATTTTCGGCTGTTTTAAATTACCTGAGTCATGTTTGGAGCGAAAACCATAGCGATATTTCGCGCATTCATTTTGTTGAGTTCTTCTTCCTCAACAACATCAGCCATCAGATTGACTGCCCAGTTGAGCAACGCGGTCTCGGTTGGCTTTAATTGCTTCACAAGCTCAACGGATTCCTCCTCCGTGTTGCATTGAAGAACTTCTTCAGGAGACAGTCCATCCAGTATTCCCGAAGGAAGTTCTCGAAACCAGGCTTTGATTAGGCCTGCCAAACAATGGACTTCAATGTCATCAGGCACAATGCCCCTGTTCAATTGGCTTCTCACAAGCTCCTCGTGGCTGTTCTCAGGGTTTATACGAAATATTCCTTCTGCCTGAAACTTCCAAAGGGACTAGTAAGAGACTGATAAAGATAAAAGAATCAAAATGCGAAATTCACAAATGCACAAAAAATTTCTCACCTTCAATCCTTCCTGTGAGTATAATCTCTCCTGCATCAGCAAGAGAATAGTAGGGACACTATTCCCTTTTGAATCAAAAGACAACTGCATTGACTCCGCCGAGACCCCAAACACGCTTGCACTGTAAAATTAGACGATTTACAAGTTAGACAATGCATTAAACACACAGAAATAAATCAAAATGAACTTCTACTTCCCTTTGTTACCTCAATCGGAACATCTAACTCCCGTATAGCCCAACATCAGAACTTTTAGACACAGAGAAAAATAGGATACCCGAATACGATTATAATCCCATCTAGTCCTTGGGGTAATCGCGGGCTGGGAAACTACTGAAAGAAAAATTGCACATTTTTGAACAATTTTCATTGAATGGCTACTGAAGATGGCTACTACAGTAGGACACACTCAATGTAATAAAACAGTTTGGTCAAGTTTAAACCCTTGCCTGACACTACAATTTCTTCAAAACCCCACATCAGAAGCATAAAGAGTTAATTGAGCTGACTATGTGGGTTACGCCAATTGGCTATGGAAATGCGCTCGCTACTTTCTCCAAGTTAGAATCTCTCTCCTCGTAAATTAGACTTAGAATGTCGCCTTGTCGAAAGACAAGGAGAGCTAAAAGGGCTCAAAACTCAAATACACGCTCATCAAGCAATTTACTTTAATTCTCCAAGATTTATAAAAAGTAAAAACATCATAAAGAACAATAATTTGAACATTCTAAGAGAAACCCATGTCGAATTTCGTAAACCTAAGACTACCCAAAAAACAAAAACAAGAACTTTACTTACCTAGCACTGGGAACTCTGCCTGGGACCTCAACCTCGAACTCCACCGGAAGGCCCAGAAACCCATTGAACCGATCGAATGTGACATGGGTAACGTGCTGGACGTTCGTGGGCCACCCGATCTCCATGTTGTGGACGGCGGAGATGACTTCTTCGCCTCTTTCGACACGGCAGGCCACCATGGATTTCCTCACAGCAGCTAACAGAAGAGCAGCCACAGAGATCTGGTTCTGCTCTTCTTCTGAGCTCTTGTTAGCTCCTTTTGCTCCTTTCCCATTTCCGCCACCTCCGCCTCCGCAGCCGCCGCCCCTCGTCAGCATCACAAGCCCTGTCATCTCCCTCTCTCTGTGTTTCTCTCTGCACTGTAAAATCTTTTGGGTGTCTCTGAAATGCTTAGACCTTTGCTGTTGGGGTAGAGAGAAAGAGAGTACAAATCTCAGTCGTAGTGTGAAAATCTGAGGCTTGCTTTGAATCGCATTGAAGAGATGGTGCGAGGGTTTTTGAAGTTCCAACTTATTTTCTAAGTTCAAACGGCCACTCGTTTGAAATTTCACTTTATCTCCAGCGTTTGGTGACTTTGACCTCCTAGTTTATAGTAATAACAAATGTGCCACTGTACCCCCTCGCTTTCGGTATTTTTTGGCAACACAAATCTTCACTATGAATTCATTCAAGTCAATGGTTAACATCATTTAATTACATCACAATTAAGCATTGATAATAGGATAATTTTTTCTTTTTTACAAACGGTAACGTTAATAAGTTAAATAATTAGTTATTAGAAGGAGAAAGAATAGTGGAGAATCAAATCCGCCCCAGAGTTCATATGCATGATTTTTCTTCACGACTATAAAATGTCATATGCAAATTTTTACAATCTTTTGAAACGTGCCAATTTCCTCCTATGCTTAAATTTATCACTTTTCATCTTAATTTCCCCACTTGAATGGGCGAAGTAATCCATAATTGGATCAAAGGACTAAAATATTTGATCGTAGGATCTCATAATAAATTTAAAGAGGGCTTTTTAGCCAAAGTGGTCATTGAGATTTGCATAACTCATCACTTTGGTATCTGAGATTTGAAATCAATAAAAGTGGTCCCTAAGTTTGTTCATCATCAATCATTTTGGTCATTTCTTGAAAAATTAAAAACTAAAAAACAAAAATACCTTCAATTTAATAAATAATGAACCAAAATGATTTGACAAAAATGAGGATGTTTTTGTCATTTGATCTTTATTTAATTGAGATTTTTTAAGAAAATACCAATATGATTGATGATTGACAAACTCAGCGACTATTTCTATTGATTTCAAATCTCAGAGATCAAAGTGATCAGTTATGCAAATTTTAATGACCATTTTAACTAAAAAACCTTTAAAGAGTCCTTCTACCATTCATCAACGTATAATTACATTGCATTTTAAGCAATTTAGACTAACATGTTAAGGCGTTAATATAAGCAATATATTATAATATTTTAAGAATTCTTCAGCATACATCTAACTGTTAAATTCAATCTCAACAAAATACAATCATATAACATCACATCTAACTGTTTCATTTCGTCGGTCGTATCTCTTTAGTAAGATGTGTTAAAACAATAAATATCATATATCGATTCGATCATCGAATGTAATGTATTCCATTAAATTTACATCGAAAGAATGATTACAGTAGAAATTTTCCCTTGATACTTTGTTAGTAATAACGACCAAAGATGGAAGTCAAAATGTCATTTGGTCAGAAGAAATCATGTGGTCGTCGGTCCTTGGAATTTGGGAAAGAAAACAATTTGAATTTGTGGAGATCCGACCGTTGAGTGATGTGGCGGGCCCGCAAGTAACGACAAGTTTGATGTGACCATCAGTGGAGGGGCTTTTTAGGCCAAATACCCGAGTGAAGAAAATGGATTCAGCTTTTGTTTTTTTTTCTTTTATTTTTCCCCAATTGTATTATATTAATTATTACCTTTTTCTTTTCCAATCAAATATTTGGAATTATTTGTGTGGAACATTTTGGGACCCAAAGAAGATCTTGGTTTTATGAACATTTGATTTGAGAGCTCCATTGCTGTACTTTCAATTATATTTGGTAATGCCTAGAGAGAATAAGTTAAAATAATCGTGATAATTAAGGGTTTCGTTTGAAAATGTTTTTGAAATGAGTCAGAAATCGTTTATGGTAAAAATGTATTCAGGTTTTAAAAGTGATTCTAGGGTTCACTTACATTTTTATTAAGAATTTATTCTAAAAATATTTTGATTAGAAATATTTTTAGCCATTTTGAAAACATTTTCACACTAGCTCTAATACTTCCTGCATAGAAGTTTGTTATTTGTGCTTTTCTACTTTTTGTTTTAAGAAATTTATGAAATTCACTTGAGAATTAAAAAAAAAAACTTTGGTAAAAGAAAACAATTTTCACAAACTATTAAAATTTTCTAGTTCTACATACCCATGTTAATTTCTATAAATTAATCCTCTTTTACTTGTTCAATTCAAGGCTTAGAAATAAAAAAGAGTGTTGTAAGAAGAGAAAATGAGACTATGAAAATCATTTCCATTCCTAAAAATTCATTAGCCCCCAACTTTTCAAAGGCTAAATAGGATTCCGTACCAAAAAACATATACGGCATTATCAAACGACTTGTAAAAGAGTCGACTCATCAAAATTTTACTCAAGAAAAACTATATCGACAAAATTTAGGTAAAAAAAATAAAAGAGTGTCACAGATGCTAAAACAATATTAATTAGAAATCAAATGCTTATCAAAGATACAAATCTATAAGCCGTGGTGGTCCAATATCCGTCTAGAAAGAGAGACCCCGATTTCGAAGAATTGCAACTTAACAAAAAGATAATTTTATTAGCTCCTCTTTAACATGGCAGCCATGAGATGGGAGCGTACTGTAAGCAAGCCATGACCAATTTTAACTATCTCGGGATGTGTACTTTGTCCTCTCTAGCTCAATCGGGCCCAATTAATATTAGAGAAATCAAATTTGGTAAACTAAATAATGTGGTTGTTGATGTTTAAGTTATTATTTAAGTGTTGATTAACGTACTTATTTTCTATTGGTGACACATTTCATTTGGATTGCAAAGTTTATTTAAAATTTTAATCTTTTTAACATTACTTTCTTTCGTCAGGCGAGGAGAGCCCAGGGTAGCAAATGACTAATTTGATAATCATTTTGATTATCTCGTCATTATCGGGTGCGACCCAAAGTCCAAACCAGCCCAGGAAAAAGCTTAAGCCCAAGTATGCGTCGACCCAAAACAAAAAGCCCAATCAATTAAACTCCCTTAAATTCTATAGATTTATAAATCTATTAAAATTTCTCAAATTCTGAATTGAATATGAAAAATTTGGATAACTAGCAATATTTTGTACCACAAAATGAATTTAAACCTACTTTTTATTATTATTATAAATTTAACCAAAAATTCATACAAAAGTTCTAAATTGCCCCTCCCTTCTCCCTTGTCTCTTCCCCCTATTTCCTAGCCCCTAGAGATGGCAATTATAACTGTTAAACCCGATATCCGTGGATAACTGGCCGAATGGAACGGATTTGAGTATGGAAGTTTGGGTATTTTGGATATGGGGAAAAACAATTTATATTAGGTTATGATTTTGGATATGGTTATAAAGGTCCACAAACTGTATCTGTAACCGAATCTGACTCGAATAGTAAATAATATAATTTATATATAATATAATAGTATATAATATGTATGTATGTGTATATCCATTATTCTCCGAACCATTACCTTGAGAATACAAAAGTTGCATTTTGTAGGAAAGTAAAGTTTTGAATCAAAATCAATGCGAACTCAATGGTGCTTATGGGAGATATCAAGGACAAGCCAACATCATCAGTGTTTTAATTTTTATACTCAACAAGATTCATTCATTGGATCATTTTATACATCAAATGTTTAATAAATAAATTAATATCTACCAACTTATAATGTCTCAACTGAATGAATATATCTTTTGTATTGACAAAGATGGATATACCCGTTAACCGATGGATAATCCATTACTCAGTGGGTGTGGTTATGGATTATACTCGTGATTAATTTGCGATTATGGATATGATTAATTTTTGTGGTTATGGGGATGAACATATCATTTCCGTTCCCAAACCTAACCGTTTCCATCCTAGTTCCCACCTCACCCATCTCTTCTTTCAAATCCACCACCACCGCCGCACCCACTACAACCGATGCCAGTCTTAGGTATTGAATTCTAGACTGCAAACTCTTTCATCCTCCCAATCTTTCCTATACAGCCGTACGACTACTCTATAACATTATGAATATCACAAAAAACATTTTTTCCAAAAGCCCGTATTCGATTATTTTAAAATCGGATTTGCGGCATCTTGATAAGCCTGGGAAAGGCTTATGTGTAGTAAGGTCGATTTATGCAAGAAAGGAAACATATGCTTACATTGCTAACACCAAACAATAGTGGGGCAATCTTCCCGCTACTCCTTTCGTTTCTCTATATATGTTTTAATTCTGACACACATATTTCTTTGCATCAGTTTTGAGAGCCTAACTGGATTTGGGATTAAGAGATGGTGTGGTTGGGTGGCGGGGCTGTGGTGGACTGGTGGGAGTCGAAGAGAGGGGCAATCTAAAACTTTTGCTTGCATTTTTGGTTAAATTTGTAAGAATAATAAAAAGTAGCTAAAAATTATTTTGTGGTACAAAATATGATTAGTTTTCTAAATAATAAAGAGGGTTTTAACAAAAAAATTTACGGTACTGTTAACTTTAACGAAAAATCACATTTTTACACTAAAAAATCTATTTTGGTACTATTCACTTTACCCTTTATTTTGTCATTATCATTAAAACTCAAAGTTTTAAAGCCCTTTTCATTAGTTTTCCTAATAATAAGGATTTATTAATACTTTTACATTAAATTTTAGTTGGAATTATCGTATAATTAAAATGGTGGTTATAATAGGGAGCATTTTTGCTCACCACCAACACCATATTTATTACTTTTAGATGAGTTTGAATTTCGAGATTCATGTAGTGGATAAGCACAAATCTCAAAATTCAAAATCATCTAACGGTGATAAAGAAGTTGATGAGCATACACCACACTAAGGGCTGGTTTGGTATTGTTGTGCTTTGAAAAAAAGCTGTTTATGCTGTGATGTGAGAATAAGCAGCTGTGAAATAAAACAACATAGTGTTTGGTAAATTTTTTTTGTAAAAGTGCTTTTGAAATAAAAAAAGCAGTATTATAGTGTTAAAATTGTGAAAAAAATGTGAAAAATTGTGAAAAAAAATTGTTTTTGGTTTTTCAAAGATGGGTTTTGCAGCTTCTTGTTTTTGGTTTTTTTCACCAAAAATTGTGAAAAAAAATTGAAGCTAAATGTTTACCAAACACAAAAACAGCTCCCAACTTTTTTTTATATAACTTTTTTTAGAATCACCTCAGTATCAAATCAGGCCTAAATGATAGTGATAAAAAATGAACATAATTCTGCGTAGGGTTTAAAATTTGGTTACTTTTTCAAATTCTCCCATTGAATACACCCAATACAAGTCCAATTGATCTTTAGATTCGATACTCTTCTTCTTCTCCGCTTCTCTCTGTCTCTCACTTCCACTGTTCCACAACTTTCCCCTTCCCCAAGTTTCCACCATTATACTTTTCCCCCTTCACTTTCCCCAAGTTTCTGTAAATTCCCCACCTTTCCTCCCTTTCCCAAATCCCACGGCCTCCCGAATCCGAATCCGATTCCAATTCTAATCCCCACCCCCCCGCCACCGCCTCCTCCACCCCTACAAAAAAAACCCCATAACCCCACCACCCATCTACAGCCGAATGGCAAAGATGATGCTCCGAGTTCGCAGCAGAGACGGCCTCGAACGAGTGACTGTGGAGAACCCACAGGGCACCACCGTCTCCGAACTCAAATCCCTGATTCAAACCCAGCTCCGAATCCCTTTCCAGAACCAGACCATCTCCACCAACCAGAACCTCCTCTTGGCGAAAACCCAGGAAGAAATCGCCCGATTCACCGACATGGCCAATCCCAATACGCCTCTGACGGCGCTGAATCTCGCACATGGGTCGATTTTGTACTTGGCTTACGACGGCGAGCGCACCGTCGCCGGGCCGGCTTTTCACCCCGCGGGCTCTTTCGGGAGGAAGATGACCATGGATGATTTGATCGCCAAGCAGATGAAGGTCACGCGCCAGGAGAACCCTCACTGTGAACTGGTGTCGTTCGATCGGGATTGCGCTAATGCATTCCAGCATTATGTGAGTGAGACGCTGGCTTTTGCGGCGAAGCGGGGAGGGTTTATGTACGGTACGGTGTCGGAGGAGGGGAAGGTGGAGGTGGATTTCATCTACGAGCCTCCGCAGCAGGGGACGGAGGAGAATTTGGTGTTTTACAGAGACCCGGAGGAGGAGAAGGCGGTGGAGGCTATTGCTATGGGGTTGGGGATGAGGCGGGTCGGGTTTATATTCACCCAGTCAGTGAGCCAGGACACAAAGGACTATACTTTGTCGAATAGGGAGGTGCTTCAGGCGGCCGAGTTCCACTCCGAGGGCGGCTTGAAGGAGTGGGTGACCGCCATGGTTAAGTTGGAGGTGAATGAGGATGGTGGTGCTGATGTGCATTTTGAAGCTTTTCAGATGAGTGATGTGTGTATTAAATTGTTTAAGGAAGGGTGGTTTGAGACTGAGATTGGAGAGGGTGATGATCCCAAGTTGTCCAAGATGAAGAAGGATGTTGTCCTTGGAGTGAAGGATACTAAGGAGGTGGACAATGATTTTTTCTTGGTGGTAGTAAAGATCTTCGATCACCAGGTGCGCTTCGATTCAATTGTTTTGTTTTGTCTTAGTTTACTTGAACAATTTGAATTGCACTATTTGTTTAGATTGTTGTTTATCTTGATGATGATTGTTACTTTTTCGGTTTTCCCCCTAACAATCACTGTCCCGGTTGATAGTTGAAGCATGTCTATAACCTAGTGTGGCATTGAACTCTCTAGAACCTTGTATTGTTGTGAAATAGGCAATGAACTCTTTTGAATAGTGTTATTAAAGTCATGGAAATAATGTGAAAATGTGGTAGGAAATAAGAAAATTGGGGTAAAATCATGTTATGATGAAGGCAATTGCATAGCCTGTTTCCTTATTTATTCTAGTTGTATTCAATAGCTTACTTTGGTTTTGAATTGCCTGCTGTTCAGTAGATGTTTAAGACTGGATGTGGAGGAAATTTTGTTGCCGTTATATCTGTGTGTGGGTTGGACATTCCACTTTCCTAGTTAGTGTTGTGCTTTTTGCTGTTGATAAGGGTCTGAGCTGTATGGGTATATATTATAGGGTTATACACGCATTAGTTCTTCTGAATCAATTTTCCAAGAATTAGATCCCATTCCCTATACTTACAGTCGACACTGAAGCTTGACCAATTGACCGGATAGTTGAGGGTGCGGTGTTCACTCATATGTTGGTAGTTCGAGTATTTGCAAATTTAATTAGTGTACAGTTTTTCTTGTTTAGTTTTATTCATTTATTTTTCAATAAGCATTTGTCATTTCTTGGCTGAGATTTCAGTAGTTCGCTTTGGTTTTGGGTTGCCTGCAAGGACCTGGGGTTCCCTGGCTTTCTAGCTCGTCACTCGAGTAATAAGATTTGGTTTAGTTGATACTTGGTAGAGCAATTTTGAATGTGTTATATGTGTATGCAATATTTCCAGGACAGGAGATGAGCTCTTTTGCATCTCTCCAAACTTTTGCATTTCGTATGTTATATTCCTTTCAGGAACCTGTGTTTTATTTGCGGTAAATCTGCTATAGAGTACATATCTTCAGTGGGCATTCAATTCTTCAAAACTCTTGGCTGTTTTTTGGATCTCAATCATTTAGTGCCTTACTTTTGCCACGTGATCATTTTTTCTTGAAGTTGCTTGAACTTACCTATTTGGTAGACAGGGAACAAGAACAACAATATTTGATTCAGCAAGTCCAAGTTTGTGTGGACGATAGCACTGATGACCTATTCTTGGTGTAATGATTAGTGGAAACATATTTGGGGAGGGAAAGAAAAGAAAAGAAAAAATAAATTAGGGACAGAGCACTTTGATGTTTAAATAGCACAGATGGGATGAATCCACTCCAAGTGGTTAATCTTAAAAAAGGAAAAGTTGTTTGTTATCTTTAATAATTTGTGAAAGTGATCTCAGAAAGGTCTCTAGTAGTGACCCTATACGATTCACTCTACTAGGGCTCTTTAGCAAGTGTTGTTGAATATCTAATTTATTTGCGGCCAAAGTAATGGAAATACTAGGGCGCTAGTCCCGCAGTTATTACGGATTGACAAGGTTGAAGGTATCAAAATGCAAGGAGTATCGGGATGCATGGATTATAATCATTATCTGGGAAACACTTGCCGTATACGATGTTTACTGTTGTGAGACAATAGCTAACTTTCACTAAATAGTGAGATATCACTTGGCAATGATTTATAAATTAGATGGTTTCACCTTAAGATTTATATATCTTGTACAATCACTTTGCTGCATAGGTTTACCTACTTACTGCGTTTTCCGTTTGCTTGTGTTTCTTCCTGTGAAGAAGACATATCTGTTGTTCTGACATGAACTTGTATCACAATGCAGGGGCCACTTTCATCATCCTTTCCTATTGAGAATCGTAACACCCCAGTGACATTGAAGGCTCTGAAAACTCATCTGGATCGTGCTAAGAATCTTCCACTTGTGAAGCGAATTTCGGATTTCCATTTGCTGCTCTTACTGGCCAGGTTTCTAGACGTTGCTAACGATGTTCCTGCTTTGGCAGTGTGTGTCCATACACAATCACCCATACCAGAAGGCTACCAGTTATTGATCGAGACTATGGCCAATACTTCTTAGTGCTGCCCTTTCGGAAACTGGTAGATTCTATACCAATGATCCTTGGTCGCGGTTAGCTCCTACGCAATGCCATGCACCACCCGAAAAGGTTGCTTTGCACCTGACTAGCTTACGTTTTAACGTGTCTTTTCTCGGGCAGTTTAAGTTATGTATTAAAAGTTTCTGGTCTGGATGTTTATGCTTGCCAGTACTAGGCTTGAGTCGTCGTCGTTGTCGTCGCCTGTATTATAATTTTATGATTTATAAATTGATCTTCTAAACCATGGTGCTAATTGCTTATCGGTTGTCGATCGTCGGAGGTGAGCACCGATGAGAGTCGTGCAACTTTTGTGTGAGTGGTAAACTTGGGAAAGGTGGTGGTAAATTTAAAGGGAGGACAACAAATACCACTCGAGACATTTTATTCGATGATTCAACACCCACATTTCACTTTTACTTTAGGATGCTTAAATTTTCGACAAAAAAACTCACGGAAAAAACCATATCGTGCCGTTTATATAAGGACCAACGATTTTTATTAACTTATTTTGCTGGTCTGATCTCTCGTTTATACAAATCAAGAGTCTGAATTTCTTATTCTTTAGACTTCGAACGGAATCCAAATTCCTTTATAATGATAACAAAGTCAAATAAAATAAACGTAATTATGTTGAGAGGACAAGTTTTAGTCAACGCAATGTTTTACCTAAGTCATCCATAGCTCAAAGAAGTGGCAAAAATATTCCTAAGAAAACGGTCCTTAACACGTGATATTTACTTCCATAATTTCAAATGAAAATAAATGGGATGTATTCGCGCAAATTTCAAACAAAAATTAAGCGTGATACATTTGCAGTAAAATTACGTTATAATAGTTGAACTATCATAAAACTTCTTTGAGTAATATTTTGCAAATTTTTAAAAGTCCAAGTGGCGTTTGTGCGTAATCCCTAACTTATTAATTAGAGTTTTAAGATATTTTTTAGGGAACTTTAATGAAAAGATTTAGGTACTGTTCATTTTAACGAAAAACTATATTTTTACACGAAAAGGTAAATCTTGAATATACTATTTACTTTACCCTTTATTTTATTATTTTCGTTAAAACTCAAAGTTTTCAAATCATTTTCATTAATTTTCTTTATTTTTTATGATAATGATTAATTTCTCACGAGGTTTGGAAGGAAATTCAAATTTCATTCTAATTAAAAACTTTAAAAAATGAAAATAAAAAGAAGTGTTGAAATATAAGAGGCCCTCCGATCTAGATGAAGAAAAACTCCTTTTCACTTATAGGCGGGAGATTTCTCTCTCCCTCTCTCTCTCTCTCTCTCTCTCTGTCTCTCTCTCTCTAAGTTAGGGCAAATCTCGTGCTCACTGAACCAGTAGCCTGTAGCCCATGGAGGAGCCACCGTCAGCCACCGCGGCGGAACCGTCGACGACTGTCCTCCGCGTAAGTTTCATTTCTCTTTACTCTCTGTCTTCCTCTCAATTCTGTGAAATTGGTTGTGTACCTGATACGGTGCGTTTCGTTGTTGACTAGCAGAAGAGGACTAGGGGTCGGACTCAGACCACTGAGAACCCTGAGAGGACCACCACCGGGAGCGACCAGGAGGAGCGCGAGAGCTCACCCGATGACTTCAAAGAAGCTCGTCCTAGAGCTAAACGAGGTCGACCTGCCGCTGCCGCTGCCGCTGGCCCTTCTGCCGCCGCACCGCAGAAACTCGCCGGCCTCACCTTGATTGGTACTTCAATTCGTACACTAATTATATGTAACCATGTGAAACGCCATGATTACATTGATATATTACCTGTTCTCTTGATTTCTTGCCTATTTAGTTAAATGGTTCGGCTGGATGATTTTACGAGTGAAGAAATTTTAAAGGATTGAGATAAACTTTTTTGACTGAATTCTGTATCTATAAATTTACGATTCCCACTAAGTTGCTACAGGGTTTCCTGCTTCATTCATTCATTCATTCATTCCCTACTAAGCAATCATGTAGGATGGTAATGTTAGTGTTGGGTCATGGCCTTGGCATGAAACCATTTGAACTCGTTTGTTCAGGACCGGAGTTCTTGTGAACCGACTCAACCTTTAATTTTTGAATGATTCTTTATAATTTGGGTCCTAATTTCAAAGCCACACTGTATGAGGATTAAGGATGGTGTGTGTAGAGAGTTTAAATTTACTCTGGTGATATTTTGCAGAGGTCATCAAGGGCAATGGGAAACTTATCCCTCAAGCAGTCAAGCTTTGGGTTGAGCGATATGAAAAGGATCCAAAACCTGCTATGGTTGAACTTTTGATGATGCTGTTTGAGGTAATCTGGAAGACCTTTTAGTAATTAAATCAAAAGTAACAGAATGTCACTGATTCAGTTAATTGTTGATTGCGAAAGGCATATCTAAAGAATATTATAAAAGAGGGAAGCACCCCCATCTCAGTTGGACATATATTTTCCTCCAATCAAAATACTAGTCATCCCTGAGTAGCTTGTGAATGATGAGACTTAAATATGTGTAGGCATGTGGGGCCAAGTATCAATTCAAAGGAGAGTTGCTGGACGAGATTGATGTTGATGATGTTGTGGTTGCTCTTGTCGAGCTTGCTAGAAGTGTATCCTTCATTTCTTTATTGTTATGGTCTTTGTGGTTTATAATTGCTCATAGTTCTGTCTTATGTTAATAATGGATGTGTTAGCAGCTGTAAAATGAGCTTGAGGTCAAGTTTGTCTGGTAATTGAGTCCTTTTTGTACTATAGCCTATAGGTTTGTTGTTAGTTAGTGAATTTATTATCCACTTTTTGTAAGCCTTTCTGTTTTCAATAAAAGTTTGTTTCTTATAAAAAAGAAAAAGGGCTCTGTCTTTTGTGATTCTCTTTTACTTGTGCTTTACTTTTTTCTGCCATCTTTCAGTTCCTAGTGAGAAAATAAGTTTCTAAGCTATTAAGTGGTTGTATATCAATATCTTTTTGGTCCAAAGTTATCCTTCACTCCTCTGACCTCTTAGGGTAATGTTGAAGATTACCAAAGTTCGAAAAAGAAGGAATTTAAGAACTTCAAAGAAAATCTTCAATCTTTCTGGGATAATTTGGTCCGTGAATGTCAACATGGGCCATTGGTTGATCAGATCTTGTTCGAGAAATGCATGGATTATATAATTGCTTTGTCATGGTTAGTGCTCAAATATTTGAAGTTACTATAGTTACAGCTGCATTTATCTATTACCTAAGCTCTCGTTTGAATGGTTTGGTTGTGTTAACCAGCACTCCTCCAAGAGTTTATCGTCAAGCTGCTACTTTGACGGGTCTCCAGCTTGTTACATCGTTTATATCTGTTGCTAACACCCTTGGTGCTCAGCGAGAAACTACTCGTAGACAATTAGATGCTGAAAAAAAGAAACAAACTGAGGGGCCTCGTGTGGAGTCACTGAACAAGAGGTTTTCAACGACTCATGACAAGATAACTATACTAGAACAGATGATGCGCAAGATATTTCAAGGGTAGGATATTCTGACTTGGCACTATAAGAAGCAACGAAAACTGATTCCGAGTCCTTTCTAAAAAAAATAAAAAACTTGATTTGGTAAAGTTCTGTCTTTATAATAATCCTGTAGTTCTTTATAACAGTTTAAGCCATCATTGTAGGTTATTTGTGCATCGCTATCGAGACATTGATCCAAATATTCGGATGTCTTGCATAGAGTCACTAGGCGTGTGGATTCTTTCCTATCCATCACTGTTCTTGCAGGATTTATACCTGAAGTATCTTGGCTGGACACTAAATGACAAAGTAAGTTTGTGATTATAGATTTTTCTAAAACTAATTTCCTTATGTGCTTGACAAACCTCGTGTATTATTCTTTTTTTTTTCTGCTTCTAAGAGTGCTGGTGTAAGAAAAGCTTCCGTCCTTGCATTGCAAAATCTTTATGAGGTTGATGATAATGTGCCAACTCTTGGTCTATTCACCGAAAGATTTTCTAGTCGGATGATTGATCTTGCTGATGACATCGACATTTCTGTGGCTGTATGTGCAATTGGCCTTGTTAAACAACTACTAAGGTGCCTGTCTGTGTTTGGAACTCTTTAAAAATTAATTATTCCCTTTTTACTATTTGTGTGAAAGCTGATTGAATTAAATTCTTTCTACGCTGCAGACACCAGCTTCTACAAGATGATGATTTGATTCCTTTATATGATCTGCTTATCGATAACCTACCAGAGATCAGGCATGCTATAGGGGCATTAGTGTATGAACACTTGATTTCTCAGAAGTTTAATAGCTCCCAATCTGGTGCAAAAGGTTTCACTTTTTCCAAACTCTATTGCACTTGTGGATTTTATTATTCCATGTTATCAACCAGTTCTCAGAACAAGTACATGTGTTGATGAAACTATTCTTTGCAGGAGATGGCAGCAATTCTTCTGAGGTCCATCTTGGGAGAATGTTGAAAATTCTAAATGAGTTCTCTGCCGATCCAATTCTAAGCATCTATGTCATTGATGATGTTTGGGAGTACATGAAGGCAATGAAGGTGTGTTTTTTATTTTTGTTTTTTGTTAAGTAGTACTTTTAATTTATGCCTTTCAACCTCTATCTTTATTGAAAGTTACTTCTTCCTCCAAAAAAAGAAAAACTCAAGAGGCTTATTCCTTGGAGAAGCTAATTGAGATATATTTTTCAATGGACATCATTATGTTCACGAAATGTTTACAGTATATGTCGAATGTGAACAAAAGGTAGTCTAGGTGGATTGACCTTCAAGCAAAATCAATACACTCCAATTGGTCAATATCTTTTATTCTGTAATGCTTGGGAAAGGGCTGGCCTCCAAGTTAAATTGAGAGGCTCTAGTCTAGCTTGCCAAATATTATTCACATGTCAATTAAAAGATAAAAAAAATGGAAGTCAGCGGGAGCCCTCCATATACTTTTATTGTTTCTTAGGCTGGTGATACTTTGCAGGATTGGAAGTGTATTATCTCCATGCTTTTGAATGAGAATCCATTGATCGAGCTTACTGAGGAGGATGCAACAAACTTGGTACGACTTCTTTGTTCATCTGTCAAAAAGGCCGTAGGAGAGAGGATTGTTCCTGCCACCGATAACCGAAAGCCACATTACAGTAAAGCTCAAAAAGTGCGTAAATTCACCTTATCTTTTATCCCTTTGTTTTCTGAAACACCTTTTCAATTAAAGTAGTCATTGTTCTTTTTGTCAGTATATATGGTGTTTACGGCTTGATTAGACAAGCCTCATGAATTTTGGTGCTTTTCAATTTTGATATTGGATTGTTTTTCCAGTTACTGTTGCCTGATTTGCTTATGTCTGACTGACGCTGCTGCCTTTGTTAAATAAGTGCTGAATGTTGTGTTATCTTTGTGTTGCTTGGTATTTGCCATGTTAATCAAGCATGTTTTGGGAATGAATTTAATAGTTGTCATGCTTTCCTTGAAGCTTACTGCTCCGTTTGTGTCTTTTCCTGCCAGAAGTCTTCATGCTGGTTTTACTGAAACATACAAAAGAGGTCTTGATTCTAAATTGCATTTTATTATGAATGTCAGGAAGTATTTGAACACAACAGACGAGATATAACTCTTGCCATGATGAAGAATTACCCATTACTTCTACGGAAGTTCATGGCTGACAAAACAAAAGTACCATCACTGATTGAAATTATCGTGCACATGAATCTTGAGCTATATTCCCTGAAGAGGCAGGAGCAGGTGGGTAGCTGATTGGTTTTTCCGTTGCTTGTTATATTTCTATACAATGTAGTCTCAAAGAAATTGCCATATGCTTTTCCAGAACTTCAAAACTGTCCTTCAACTCATCAAGGAGGCATTTTTTAAACATGGTGAGAGGGAGGCACTGAGATCTTGCGTAAATGCTATCAACCTTTGTTCCACGGAGAGTCAAGGGGAGCTAAAAGATTTTGCTCGTAATACACTAAAGGAACTTCAGGATGAGCTTATTGCCAAGCTTAAATCTGCAATGAAAGAAGTGGCGGTATATTTCAATCATATACTCTTTTCTTCCTTCCTTGCCAACTGACGGAAATGTGGTAAGTTAAATGTTATTGGAACTGCAGGATGGTGGTGATGAATATCCTCTTCTGGTGAATTTGAAAAGGTTGTATGAGCTTCAATTAACAAGAGCTGTTTCTACTGATACCTTGTATGAAGATCTTGTCTCAACTCTTCAGAGTCATACAAGCAGGGACCATGAGGTTTGTTTGTGGTTACTTTAGAATAGAAATCGTTGTCTGTATTTTCAGATTTTCTTGCAGTCATTTATTATTTTGCTGCTAATGCTCATTTCAGGTTATCAGTTTTCTGCTTCTCAACATGTCTCTGCATTTGGAATGGTCTCTGCAGTCAATCATCACTAGTGAGACTGTCTCTGAAGCATCTTTGTCTTCTCTATTGGTGAAACGCAATTCCTTGTCTCAGCAACTAGAGTACTTTCTTAACAGCCCTCCTGAATTGGAGGGTAATCCTGCTAATCAGCTAGCTTGTAGGGTAAGCATTGTTACCTGAATTTTTTCGTATCTCAATAAATTCATACTAGCTATATAATTTGGATTGGATTTGGAAAATTTATGGACCAGTCTAATGAAATAATTGCTGTGCTCAAGGTTTGTATTCTGCTATCAGAGTTGTGGTTTATGTTTAGAAAGACACTTTTTGCTTCAACAAATCTGGAAAGGTTGGGATATCATCCAGATGCATCCATTCTTAAAAAATTTTGGAACCTATGTGTGCAACAGCTCAGTATTTCAGGTTAGTAATATGTTCTTGATCTCCTCTGTAGCTAAAAGTAATGTTTCAATTTCAGGTTCTAATTTTATATAAGATTTGACTTGTAATCTCTGGCCGAAAAATAATAATTGGACTTTGAATCAGAACAAACTACATGTTAAACTTAACCTTTTGTTATGTACTCAAAGGTCATTTCTGCGTCAAGATTGTAGGGAGACATTTTTCCATTATATTCGTTTATAAATTGTCTTTCCGATTTCTGTTTCACAGATGAGACAGAAGATGAATATGCGAACCGAGAATATATTGAGGAGGCAAACAGAGAAGCAGTAATTATTGCTGCTGCAAAGTTGGTTGCTAACGATGTAGGTTCTAAGGTGAGGATAGTATTTTTTGTATTTGTATATATATCTATCATATACTGAATGGTAAATTTCATCCTGTTAGATACGAATCATGTGCAGTCTGGTGGGTTTGTGATTTGCTATCCTAGCATATAGTTGCTCATGATTAAGCAAGTAGAAGTCCCAAAATGTATTTATGCCTGCTTGAGTTTATATATAAAGCTTTTGTAGGTTTTCTATAATTGATTGTTAATGCAGGAATATCTTGGTCCGGAGATTATCTCTCGATTTTTGATACATGGAACATCTGTAGCAGAGATTATTAAGAATCTCATTACTTGTCTAAAGAAGAAAGATGATGATCTTCCCAAAATTTTCTTCGAGGCGCTGAAAAAGGTATGACTCGTGAATATGGTTGGGGTCTTTGTTGTTGGTGGGGGCGGTAGGTGGAATGACAGTTAAATTTACTGATGTGTGCTGATATAAGAAATGTCATTGTTTTTTTAATTGATTAGGCCTACCAGCGGTACGTGGTTCAACTTTCTGAGAGTGATGATGAATCTTCAGCAAGCAAGTGTTTTCAAGAATGTAAAGAATTGGCTGCTCGGATTTCTGGGATGTTTATAGGTGCTGCCAGGAACAAGCACAGATCAAACATTCTAAAAATTGTTAGTGATGGCATAGAATATGCATTTCTAGATGCGCCGAAGCAGTTATCTTTTCTGGAAGGTGCTGTGATCCATTTCGTATCCAAATTGCCAACATCTGATATCCTGGACATGTAAGACTTTTTTCTAATAAAATATTGTCCTCTTTCGAAATTTTCCCAAGTTATACTTTCGCCATTTGCTATTAAATCTTTATGATTTCTTCTGCGAGCAGTGTGAAGGATGTCCAGAGCAGAACAGAAAATGTAAATACGGATGAAGATCCCAGTGGCTGGCGCCCCTATCACACGTTTGTTGACAACTTGCTTGAGAAATATGCAAAGAATGAAGGTATCCAAGGTATGACCAGACAGAACTTGTCTCTGTACTTTCCTCGCTAATCTTTCATCTGTGCATTATGTTTACAGGATTTTGGTTTAACGAAATATTTAAATCCTTGATATGTTACAATCATCTGGAGCTTCTGATGCATGCAATTGAATATGCTGCATTTTGTTGATCCTTGAAGGCTTTGTTTTGCAAGTATGATATTCTATTGTGTTTTAATCCGAGTATTGTATAACTGCAGATGAACAGGATGCCCCCTCTGTAAAGCGCAGGGGTCGCCCACGCAAAAAGCGTCGGGGAAAGGGACTCTTTGATGAGCAGAGTTCGAGTGAAGAAGAAGATTTAATAAGCGCATCGGACCATGAAAATGCTCAAGAGGAAGAAAACAAGCAAGACGACGAGGATGACGATGAAGATGCTCCTTTGATACAGTCATTTAGGTCATCGGCCAAGTTGAGGGCATTGAGAGTTGCAAGAGCGGAAACGAAGGCCAGATGAGGGCATTGAGAGCTTAAAGGTAATTTCGCCGCGTCAAAGCGGCTGATCGATGGTTTTTCTTTCGCTGTGCAGCATGTTTAAATTAGAATTGCAACCTGCACGTCGTACACTTGAAGGCGTATATAGTTTGTCGACTTGCACATCTGTCTAATCGTTTTCGGGTCTCCCTATTGGCTCGGTGGATCTTTATTACTGCATAATCGAGATTAATTAACCTTTCGAAGTATGTCATTACGCATAAATACATGTTCGGATCGAGCAACACTCCACGACGAGTGAGGATCCTCGTCGGATCCTCTGTGAGGATTTCTGAGATCTTCAAATCATATCCGTATATCATGTAGTCAGAAATCATTATAATTTTTTTTATTTAAAATTGAATATAAACAATACCTAATAAAAACTGATCGCACGATATATGATAAACGGATATGATTCGAGGATTTCTGGGATTTTTACAAAGAGGATCCTCTCTCCTCCACAACAGAAAGAACTTGTATGGTAAGTTCGATGGACTAGGGTTGGTTATGGTCTGGTTCAGTTCGCTGCACGCCAAACCCGAAAACCAAACTGAATTAACAAATTTAGTTTGGTTCGGTTTCTGATTGGTTCATTTCGGTTTGGTTTGTGCTCGAACCCGTTAGATCTTTTCTTGTTGGGAAGTTGGCTTCCTAACTCCACTGCACAAATCATCAACAAAACTCACAGAAACACCAAAACGAAGTGGATGACAGTGTTGTAGGTGTGAATGAAGAATACTAAGGCGCAAGGGAGACGAAGGAGGCTGAGGCCGCGAAGGAGACTGAGGCCGATGGTGGCGAAAAATCGGAATACTTAACATGAGCCACATGTTTTCTATCTCGAAAATCTGAGATTGCTTAAAACATAGAAAGAACATGAGAAAAACAACACAAAATTGCAGATACTGTCTTTGCCATGACAAGTGAACTCAGGCAGCTATTAAGCAAACACATCGGAAAAACCTAACCGCCTCGTAAAATCAGAAAAAAAACCAACCTAAGTATTCATCTTCTTCCAGTAATTCTCAACAACGGAGAAATTATACCCTGCATCTCCTGCAACGACTGTTGTATCCGAATTTCCTCCTCAACTGACCGTTTAAGGTTTCGGATATGGACCTTCAACGCTTCGGAAGCTTTAATGTCCTCAATCCTCGTCTCAAGAACCTTCTTTGTCAACCCCATCAACAACCCTGAGTAACTTGGCACTGTCAAGTGCTTCTGCAAGAACTTCAGCAGCAATTCCAGCTCCTCCGAATCCAAATTCAACGTGCATTTCAGCAGTTTATTCCTCGCCACCAATTCCTCCATCACCGCCACGACATTCTCCGGATTCTTGCTGCGCAAGACACACACCAGAGCATCCTTGTGCCTAAACTTCTTCAATAGCTTGTCATGCTCGGCCAATTTCACTTTCTTTGGCCTCATTACCACATAGTCCCGCTCGGACGGCTTCTCCCCTTGCCCTCTATGGAAATACCGAAAATTCGAAGGCCTTAAAACCCGAATCTGCGATTCCTCCATCACAGGTCCCAAACCCCCAGCATCCCCCAAGGCCTTCAACCTTTTCTCCCTCTTCTCATACTTCGAAAGCGGCCTATCTAGCTCCTCATCAGAACCACCCCCTGAGCCTTCCTTGTACTTCCTCCTCCCAGCATAGATCATCCCGTTCGAAGTTCCAATCACCCTCGTCATACAATCGGGCGAAAACCCTACCGACATTAGCGGCGCAGGGAACCGCATTGAGTGAGTGACCTTCATCTTTGCATAATCAAACACCTTCATGTAACCATCCAATGCCACACTCAAAATCCTATATTGCTGCGCCTCCTCCCCACTATCCTTTCCGATTTTCGCGACGCAAATCGAAGTCACAGTCTTATTGTGGCTCTCCATTGAATACACCATTTTCCCACCTGCCATCAAATCCCATATCTTCACAGAATCGCCGCCAGCCGTTGCAATTAATCCACCGGATGGCAAGAAAATCACGTCCTCCACCGGCTTTCCGTGATTCACCTCCATCACCGACCCCGAATCTCTAACCCTCACATCCCAAAGCTTCACCGTGTGATCATATGACCCAGTAACGAACATATCCGAACTGACCGGCGAGCAATCCCCGCACCGCACGTAGTCCTTGTGGCCGAGCAAGTCGGAAATCGGAGTCTCGCCAGCGACGTCCCAGTACTTGACAATGGCATCGTCGCCGCCGGAGACCAAATGGAGCTTGTCAGAAGCTGGGTATTTGACGAACCGAGCTGGGCGCGAGTGGGATTTAAGTTTCCGAAGCGGGTTTCGGGTTTTGACATCGAAGACCTGGACGAGGCCAGAGAGGTCGGCGGCGGCGACGAGGAGGCCATCGCAGCGGAATGAGGCTGAAGAAACGACGTCGCGGAAGGCGGAGATGGTGGCGGTGGGCGAGAATTGGTTTAGGGGGTTGTAGAGAGTGAGGGAGGCGGAGTGGGCGGCGGCGAAAGAGTGTGGGGCGTTGGGGGAGAAGGTGAGGGAGGTGATGGAGGAGATGAGGTCAGGGATTTGCTTGGTTTTGAAGGAGGACCAGTATTTGGATTCGGGGGTTTGTTTGGGGGTTCGGGGCTTAGGCTTGTGCTTGGGTTTCACAGGGAAGGTCTTGGAGATTTGTGGTTCCGCCATTGATGGAGCTCGAATTGGGGCTGAGCGCTTTTGGGGTCAGGGTTTTGCTGGTGTTAGGGTTTTGGCCTTGATGAGGAGATCGCGAAACGACGCCGTCTTATATATCTCTTTTTGAGAAATTTTATTTGAGCCCATTTGTTTTGTTTTTAACAAAAACATTAGTTCTCACAATTCCCACTTGTACCCTTAAATAATTGAAAAACACTTAAAATCCAACCCAATTAGTATACTGTCTAGTGATATATCTGTTACGGTGTATTAGTATTTTTCTTCATTTGTAAGTGAGAGGTCTTAAGTTTGATTTTTACCAGATAAAGTTCAAAACCAAATTATTATAGTTAGCACACTGTGTAAGGCTTAGACCACTTTTTTACCTTTACCGTAGACCCTTACTATAGAAAATACCGTATATATCTTGTTGGGTAGATAATCAATCGTCTTTTATATTCATAGTGAGTAGTTTGTTCATATCATACACGACATGATTGGATCTTATCATGTAAAAAAATCAGCCCATCTTTTCTGTATGGGTTTACGCGGTGGTTAGAACAAAGATACATTTTTTTTGTTTTTTTTTTTTTAATTCAAATGCGGGGACATATATTTGCAAGGAATTGGATCCCCTTCCGAGCAAATGGTGGGGATCCTTAGGACTCACTAACACAAACCGTTGGATTTTGATCTAACGGCTACAAACAAAGTCTCTTTAAAAGTTATAATAATTGTAGCTGTTAGATCAAAATTTAACAGTCCGTGTTAACGGTTCATGAGGATTCCCACCATTTCCTCATGAGGGGATCCAATTCCTATTTGCAAGGCCCAATCAATAGTATTCGGTCAGAAAGTATGACGGTGCTATCTAATCTTCTCAAGAGAGATTTTTCAATGTGATCGGCACACAGAGTGGTACATCACGTGTCACTATATAAATTGTGAGATATGTGTGTTAAAATGTTAATAACTTAAAAAATAAAATTTCTCACCACTTGCATAAAAATACGTGATATACCACTCGTGTTCCGGTCACATTGAAAAATTTCTCCTAGAGAAAGTCGATTCGCCCAACAAGAGTCAAGAATATCCCAGATATGATAAGCCTTACACAATCACATTCCTAATCATAATCATAAGTTGTAAAATCGTCTGAAGAACCGACGTTCAGAGAGAGAGCGGGAATGTAATATGAGGGCAAAGAGACTAATTTGGAGAACGAATATATTTCATTTAGTACTTTATAAATCTCTTGTGAGTGAGCGTGTGATTTATCAGCAGCCAAAAACTCATGAAACTCACCCTCTACCTCTATCAAGCTTCGCCCCGGATTCTTCTTCACACCCCTCTCTTTCATCATGCTCCTAACGATCCGTACATCGTCCCACCTTTTCGAATTAGCGCATAAATTTGCAAGCAGTACATAAATACCACTGTCTTCGGGATCCAATTCTAAGAGTCTCTCAGCAGAAAGCTTAGCCATCTCAACATTCCCATGAATTTTACATGCATTAAGAAGTGCACCCCAAGCAGACTCCCTTGGCTCCATTGGCATTTTGTTTATCAACTCGTAAGCTTCTTCGAGCAATCCAACTCTTCCAAGTAAATCTATCATACAAGCATAATGTTCCTTTTTCGGCTCGATCCCATGATCCCTAGCCATGCTTTCAAAATGCTCTTTGCCTTCAGAAACTAATCCACCATGACTGCAAGCAGACAAGACCGCCACAAATGTGATAGAATCCGGTTTCAGTCCCGTACTTTTCATTTGGTCGAACAGAGTAAGCGCTTGCTTCGCATGGCCGGTATATGCAGCAATCATGGTGTTCCAAGAAACCACATTTCTCTCTGGCATTTCGTTGAAGAGTTGTGCGGCCGAATTTATACCCCCACACTTGGCATACATGTCCATCAATGCGTTCCCCAGAATCACGCTGCGTAGAATACGCTTTTGATCGATATAGTAGTTGTGAATCCACTGACCCAAATACAGGCAGCCCAATTGACCACAAGCAGATAGAGCACACACTAAACTGTCCTCTGTTGGAACCATACCTGACTCCACCATGTCATAAAACAATTTCAACGCGTCATTTGGTCGATTATTCTGTGTATAACCAGCAATCATCGCATTCCAAGATACTACATTTCTTTCGGGCATGTCATCGAAAAACTTTCTTGCAGAGTCCAAGTCCCCACATTTTGCATATCCATTAACCATGCTAGTCCATGAAAATACATCCCTGACTTTCATGTTGTCAAAAGTCTCTTGAGCCGCAAGCAAACATCCGCATTTCACATACATATCCAACAAAACATTGAGCAAATTTAGGCTACAATTCACACTCTTCTTTTGTATGTATTCATGAACACTCTTTCCCATACCAATATCTCCCCTTTCGGAACACGCTGAAAGCACTGCAATCATAGTAACCTCATTCGGCTCGACATTACTCAACAACATCGAGCCGAACAATTCCATAGCCTCATCAGAACAATTACTTCCTGCATACCCATCAATCATCGCGGTCCAAGTAACAACATCCCTCGCAGAACTTTCATCAAACACTTTGCGTGCAAGACTTAGAAACCCACCCTCAGCATAATAATGCAGCAACCCATTTCGTACCAGCAAATCAGAATCAAAACCCATCTTCCAAATCACGCAATGAATCGAATCTCCCTCCAAAACTCTCCCAAACTGCCCGCACGCCTTGAGCGCAAAAACAAAACTTCGGCTGTCCATCTCCACACCTTCACGAACCATTCGACCGAAAAACGAAAACCCAATTGCTGGAATTTGAGCCTTTGAGTAGCCTCTGATCATTGTGTTCCACATATACGTATTGGGCTTTCCAATCTGGGTGAAAAGAAGACGCGCGTATCGAATGTCGCCTCCGTCGGCGAGAGCGCAGAAGGCTAAAACCCTGCTGACCGGAAAGGTGTGCGTGATGAGGCCGGTGGTAGTCATTTGAGCTTGAATTTGCTTCAGCTGGAGCATGGTGGTGCAGGATTCCATGATCTGCAGAGTTGGGTTTGTGATTATTACGTTGGTTTTGGAGTTCCATGTGGGTTTAATGGCGGAGGCTGACGAGAATTGTCTCAGAATTTGGAGCCTGTGAGTAGAAAGCAGAGAGTGGAAGTGGGACTTCATAACATGGCAAATTATTAGCTCAAATGTAGAGTTAAAAAGGATCCAATTCATTCATTTTATTTAGAATAATACTTCACAACCCAAAGAATGAATAAGTTTTTCCTTAAAATTGTCCGTTGCCGATTTATAGAATTTCGTGTTTATAACAAAAAATGTTTATATTATTACTACGCTATAAAGATCAACTCTGCAAAAAAAAAAAAAAAAATCAATTAAAATTAAGGTCGTTAGTCATCAAATTGTATAAAAACAGATGAACGGAATTAGTAGGAGCATTACGAACCATGTATGTATTTGTTACAATAGATTAACCAAATGACCTTAGGTTTAGTTCCTTTTTTGTAGAGGCGATTTTTACAGCGTGATTTATAAAATGAACTGTTTTGATTATAAGAAAAAACTCTGTCATTCGAATACGAAGAGTTTTGAGTAAGAGTTTCTACTCATCCTTGAATAGCCAAACATTGTCTTTTAATTTATTGGGTAGACAAACGTGGTAGTCACATTATTGTATTATTCAGTTTAAAATGAGTTCTCTACCACACATTTTTAATTTATTGGGTAGACAAACGTGGTAGTCACATTATTGTATTATTCAGTTTAAAATGAGTTCTCTGCCACGCATTTTTTTTTAACGAGTGACCGCCTAAAATTTAACAAAAGAAGAATCGGATTTTTTGTTCCCGCAATTTAGAAGATTGGATTTGCAATGAGATGTGAATGATTTTAATTTCTTCAGAAGCCAAAAACTTGTAGCTCAGGCGGTTAAAAACATTTGTCGATGCACGGAGGCCCGGCGTTCGATTGTCCCGCTCCCAATTTGCTTGTATCAACTATCAAGAGAACAATTACAAATCTATGAGGTTGTTCTGAAACACCACTCCCCAAAAGAGAACAAACACTTATGAAATGATTAAACGTAAGAAGAAGTTTATGTTACATAAATCACAGTGAAACAAAACTTAAACAATTTCCCTTCCCTATAAGCTCTCTCTATTTAGCTTCAAAAACTCTTGTTGTACATATATTACAATCGATGAACGGGAAACGAAGAATTCGGTCCCTAAACGTCGAAATCTCGAGCATTCTAAGATTGTGTACACTAGACGAGGCTTCAACTTCTGCAACGATAACATCCAAGTGAGAGCACGATGTAATGCGGGAACTGCGAAAGGATCGGGCCTCGGGAGAAATGTGGATTGTCACATTCACTGGTTGGAAAATACTGAAATCTGTGAGCTATATATATGCAAGTGAGTTTCGATCAAGATCAGGCTGCGGTCGACCACGAGTAGGCGTTGGTGGTCTTTGAATGTTGAGCTCCTGCTCAACAGAAAAGATACGAGAGTATGTGAGAGGCAACAGGGGAAATGATAAGGGAGTTTTCCATTAAAGGTATATACATATTAAACAACGCTACAGATGTGCTTACCTGCATCCATGCGTCGTCTATGACCCGTTCAGGAGATGTCTCCGGTGACTGAAGAGGAGGTGGCAAAGGATGGATTAATTTTGGAACCACAACCAAACCTCTGCCAACGACCAGTATAGCACCAGCATTGTTTGCCGTCCCTGCAAGAAAAGGCCATATGAGACTGCGAGCACTGCAACAATGAAAGAAACTTACAAAGATTTTGCTTACCGCAATAGTTGGTTGCAGAAAAAAGAGTGATCAACTGTCCCTGGGCAAATCTTTCAAATCCATCCATGACACATTCATGAGCTCTTACAATGAGTTGTAATTTGTTTCTCTTACAAAATTCTGTGACACGATCAGGCTGCAAGTAGCAAGAATATATTAGTACGGCGGTGCAAGTATGTATACCTTAAGACTTAAAATTATGCACATGAGAGGGTTCTCGAAAAAACAAGATTGTATAGGACTCAGTCAACACGCTGTTGGTATTCCAAAAAAAAATTGACATTGACGTAACGCCAAACTACAGTAATGGTGATTATTAGGTATAACAAACCTGCTCTCAGATCATCAAATGTACAGTTCGTTTGATGTTAAAGAACGCAGTTTCAATCGGTTGCCTATACTGTCGCTTGGACTACAGTTCTCAAAGTGTTGGGCTTTTCGGTAAATCACAAACGGCTATATCTTTCCTATTGTATGTGAACTGTCAAAATTGTTATAAATTTAACGTCATATTAGTGGCTCCTACTTTTTGTTTTTTGATAAGTGACCCCCACCTAAACCCTAACAGACACTTCTGTGCAGTATCAATGCCAGAAAGAGAAAAACAAAGTCATATTTAGACGAGTAATGCTCGAGTACAAATTCAGAAAAAGAACACAAAACTGCGTACCCCAAAGGTGACAAGACCAGGTCCTCTGGCATTTGGTCTCAAGCCCTCTACACTGTCGTTTTCTGTGGGATCAGACCTGTGTACATAGATGTCAATAGGATCATAAACATGAGCAATTATATTAACAGCAAACGAACAGATGAACTGAGCAAGAGTGTACCACAAAAGATCCATTAAAATTATAGAGCCAGCATCCATTGTAATGGGTCTTTCAAGCTTCTCTATCTGTTCTACAGAATTGATAGATCTCCCAATGCCTCCATGCATACAGATAATTTTCTTTTCAATCAGAGCAGCAAGTGGGAGATAGTTGAAAAGTTGATTGAACCGAGTCCATGCCCAGATTCCATCATTCTCGCCCTACATGCACACAAGTTACTATTAACTTTTATTATTCTCAAATCCAGAGAAAAGACTGCATCATGTCTGCATAATTAAAACCCGTACCATTCTCTCAACGCATTCAATACGAAAACCAAAGAGTGCATTGATATCAGCAGCTTCATGGTTTCCACGTATTAAGTGAACATTGTCAGGATACTCGATCTGCAAAAACAATCAGGGCATATGGTCAAATATAAAAGTGGGGAGTACAAAAAAAAAATATAAATTTGATTACTTAAAAGAAGAACTTGCCTTCAGTGCAAGGAGCAAAGTTATGGTCTCCAAGCTGTGCTGTCCTCGATCAACATAATCCCCCAAAAACAAGTCGTCGATATACCTGTAACAATAATTAGACTAGCTGAAAAGTCTGATTTATTCTTAGATTCATAGTTTATATGGGTGTCATCAGCCAAAAAGCTTCTGAAAAAACTCTTAACACTTCAAAAATTTATTAAGCGAAGAATTGGAGTAAATTCTTCATATGCGACTTTACTTCACCAGTAAATATCCGAGTCAAAGTTCTGGTGTAAACAAATTCCTTCTACAAGTATATTGACAGATATGGAATGTGCACAAATAGTCATCTTACGTTATGTCTCCCGCAGCAGATGGAAATCCATATTCATCAAATAAGCGCATTAAATCACCAAACTGTCCATGAAGATCGCCAAATACTTTAACAGGGGCTTTCAGCTGAAGAACTGTTTGCTCCTGCATAAATATCTGCTCAGCAGCATAACAAAGTTCTCCCACTTCATAAGAATCCAGGAAAAACTTCCTATTGACAGGGGGTTTCCAGTTTCGAGGCCTCAACAATGTAGATATAACCTGAAAGGTAATAGATAACCCAAAAAAAAAAAAAAAAAAAAAAAAAAACCTGTCAATTAACAATAACAAAAATTCCTTCCAGAAATAGTGTAAAAAGAGAGGAAAAAGATCAAATGTTAACTGATGCTTGCCTTCTTATGTAGCCCTTGTGGAGACTTCTGCCTGGTGTACTTTTTGTTGGGATGTGATAAGTCATTGTTCATTGGTATCGTTCGTCTGCTCTCATTTTCAAATTGATCCAAAGACAACTGTCTCACCATCCCACCCAAGTTGCCTACAGCCTCTTTGGCAACGACAACCTACAACAACAGCAAATTATAATTTATGCCACTTAAAGATGAAAATTTCCCTCAATTAGGTTTTGATGTAAAAGACATACAGCTCTGTGATGAAGACGAACATCTGCCTCGGTGTCACTACCATCAGACAATGTTTCTGCAACTTGTGAGTTATCATCTGAAACAGATGTTTCTTCAGAAGGAGTAGCAGATGCTGATTGCGCAGCTTGCCAAACAGCACTGGCTGCCTCAGCTTCGGCAGCAGAAGCCTCCCGGAGTTTCTCCATTGAATTTTTGTCCATGCTGCCAAAAATAATGATGTTTGGCACAAATTATAAGCACGTAGCTCAGTCAAAGCACTTGGTAGAGAGGGAAAAGAGGATATGGAATGATACCTCAAGCCAGTTGATGAGGTACTCTCAGGTTCACCATCAGAAGATGTTCCAAAAGTACTTGTGTTAGCATGAAACATTCTGGGACTGGATACAGTTGGGGATCTCTCAGATGTTAAAACAGGCAAATTACCTTCAGACTGAACTGATGAATTTTCTGCAACCAGGAAGTCATCTAACAGGATGTCTGTACAAGAAGATAAAACAAAAGATATATTAAAACATGATTGAACCACATAAGCAGAGGAAGGCTGCATCCATTATTCAATGACATTATTCATATTTTCATTTAGGTTCTAAATACCTCCCTTAAGACCACCATAAATATATATACGAAAACCAAGAGATGCAGCTGCGTGGCGAAAACGACGCATGAGCTCCAAAGAAGGATCATGGTCATTCTGTCCCTTTCCTGTGCGTGAGGAAGTCACAAGCCCATTTCTGTCTAACCAAACTCCAGCAGCAGTGTCCAATACTATCAAATAAGGAGAAAGGAACATAGAAACAAAAGGTATTAAGAAAACTTAATGAGCTTACATAATCATGGTAACAAATTTAGCAACCAAAACATTACCTGCAATAGCTGCTTCACCTTCTATACCACGACCTCCCCTAAGAGCACCTCCTGTAACATGTAATCTTGCACCAACAAAAACCTGATGACAGAATATGCCAATTAGGTGCTAAAATAAGGTTCGAACTCAAAAGGGTAAAGATAACTCAGAGATAGGCAGCTAGTTGAGCAGAAAATGCAAAATGCAATAGTACCACAAACATTGTATGATAATTATGGTTTCTACTGCCAATTATAAGTTCAGTAAACCATGTGCTTCACTTCAAAGAAAAAAGAAAAAAAAACATATAAAGTAATCATGCAACATACAAATGGGTAACTTTGCATGCCTAGTTTATATATTAGCACTTACCGCCGCATGTTCATATCTTGGTGAAGGGGATACACCAGGTGCAAGGGTCCACTCCCACTGACCATTCCTATGCATAAGCAGTCCATAAGCGTCTGCTAGAGGCTGTGGGAGCATAGATATGAGCAAATCAAACAAAATCAGATAACCCGTTTAGCTCAAAAGACCCCCAGTATAAATTGATAAAGGCAATATACAAGAATGATAGAGAGGTAGACTCAGATTCCACATACCGTTCCAGAAATATCTCTTCCACCACAAAGCAAAAACATACCATCTGAGCGAGCACTGGCTGTTGCATACCTGCAAAATAATCTTGGCTCAAAAAACAAAGTCCACCAAAACTTTCACAACATTTCACTTCTCGACATATGAATTTTTTACTCACATTCTAGCAGATGGTCTATCACCTTCTGGGTTCAGCCTAGCCCATGCATAAGGTTTTTGAGCAGTATCCAGAGCCCAAGCATCAGAAAGAACTCTTTTTCCTAAAAAAAATATATATATATTAAATAAAGACAGTAAACATCAAATGCTTCAAAAAGGCCCTGCATTTGACAACAGTGAAGTGTATGGATAGCAAACACTTAGGGTTTAGTGAATACACACACCATCATTTCCGCTGACGGTAACAAGATATCTTTGAGCAACTAAGTCCATTACATGGCCGTAGCGAGGCCCGGGTCCTTGTCCTTGTACAACCACTCTACGGACAGACAACAAAAACAAAAGTACAAATGTTTTGTACTGCAATTTTGAGCATTAATCAATAAACTCTCAAGTAGAACAAGCTCAGTTAAAGTCAGTTATACTCACCTGTGCCATTTAAATTTATCGTTGGTTAAGTCCAGCACGTAGAGATCATCTGTGGAATGCCCAGCAGGACCTATGCCGCCCTAAGCATAGAAATTCACACATATCAAGTTTAACACTCATTCAACCCAGTAAGAAGTGATTCATGAACTTTGAAACTATCAGAAACCCAGTTAAAGAGAACCTCTAAACTTATAATCCATCTCTAAACCCCAGTAAACACAAAAGACTCTAAATTTCGAATCATTCCTCGAAATGTATAACTCAATTCACCTGAAATACAACCATAGTGCCCACCGCAGCTGCCGCGTGAGCTGCCCTCGGAGAAGGTGGCTCACCTGCAGGCCTCATTCTGCAAGAATTGGAACAACCCCGAAAGCAGAAAAACAATCGGTAAGACTCCAATTCAATTCCAACAAGTTTTTTGAAATACGAAAACCAAAAATTAATAAAGCAATTAGAAAATACCTAGTCCATTTCCTGGTGAGAATATCATAGGAATGCACCGAATTGGTCACCCCAGCTAACCCTACATTCACAATCAATCAAACTCCAAACAAAAGCAAAATCCAGATTCGAATTGAAATAGTGAAGCAAACATCGAGGAGGGAGAGAAATTTTAACTGATGCCAGGGGCGGAGGAGGGGCCACCGCCTTCAATGGCGGTGGCACCACCGAAAAGGATGAGACGGGGGCCGTGGGTCTTGGTGGCAGCGACGGCGGTGAGGGTGTGAGCGCAGCGTGGACCAGGGGCGTCGTCGTCGCAATCCCAAAAGGTCTCGAGAGTACGATAGGTCGGAGCCGGGAACAGCCATGGCTTCGACCCCATCAAAACCCAAACCCGGAAGCAGGAGCACCACCACCAGCAACTAGCAGAGCCGTTTGATTTGATCTGCTGATTCCCTCTCTCTCTCTCTCTACTTTCTCAGCGGGGACGATGATAAAGCCTTGATCGCTGTTGGCTGAGATTGTGGTGCCTCTGGGGCCCGGCCTTCGGCTCCGGACGCTTTAATTTTCTTTATTTATTTTTTAAATTCTTTTAAATACATTTTAATGAAATTTAATTGAATAATCGTGGAGGTCGGTAGACTACAACGACGCTACGTAGTACAGTCAAAACAGGTGACTCAACTACGATCCAACTCTTAAATTGTTATTTTCGTATCATTTCGTGTCGAGTTAAAAAATGTTTAGCTCACTTAGGATTAGTAGATTATACAATAGAAATATCTAGTTTCGTGGTATAATCAATGCACGTATTATGTTGATATTTTCTACTTTTATGAGAAAGTCGTGGATACTCCGATAAGTCGAATTTAAAGAATATCTACACTTGTATAGGTGTAATTAAGTATTATACGATAACTTTCAGTAGTATGACAGTCTATTGATATTTCTCTCACTTGTAAATAAAAAGTCTAACGTTCGACTCTTATAAATGACAAACTGAATACCTAATTACGACGAACTCATACTGTCACATAGACCAAATATCGTCATTAGAACGAAGAAGAAAAGTATTACTACGTGTAAAGCGCTCTTTCTCCTTGAAGACTATTAAAAAGTTGACATAAATGCATAAGGAAGTTCAAATATGGAAAAAGAAGTAGCAAGTCAAATGGTGTGTTAACTCAGAATCTAACGATGCACAGCACAACATTTTTCACCTCCGTCAATGCCCGTCAGTCGACGCCACCGGTCAGGTCACTCAGACCGGCAAAATTTTCGGACACTAGGCAGGAAGAATGTACAAGTGGCCTACTTTTCGGTGAGGGAGAAGAAGCGCACTTCCGTAAGTTACAAGGTGCTTTGAGGGAAACAAACTCTGAACTTTTCTAGACCAATGTCATCATTAAACAGCAGTTCAACTAATCCGACAGATGATATAATACATACCAGAAACAAGACGATTATATTCCCGACAAGGAAGAAATTTAATAGAATGAATTGTGATCAGGGGCATGGATTCGGAAACCTTTCATGAACCTTGTTAATTTCCGCGATTACTTCTGGTGTGAGCTCAACCTTGCATCCATCTAGGACCTCCCGAAGTTGCCACGACTTGGTTGCTCCAAAAACAACACTTGCAACGAGGGAGCGACTCAAAACAAAGGCTGCCAAATGCAAAGAACGTAGATACTGAGTACAAGGTCGATGACTGTAAACAACTGCGATATGAACATAGTTTAAGGACAACCACATTGTATATGTCAAATCTACAAAAGATGTGTTAGCTCAAGCAATTAAAAGAACTACGGTTTTAATCCAACAATTGAGAGCCAGCAATCATTCTGAAATCAGTACATGGCTGTATGGTTTAAGCAACCAGGTCAAGAAAAAGGGAAGAGGAACGAGCAGATTCGGAACTTATCTACAAGTAATACTTCATTTATAATTACAGACGTTGTAATTAGCAACATCAATTCTCTGAACTCAAAACAACAGTTCTACATGGACAAGTACAAGGAGAAACCATGAGAGAGAGAGAGAGAGAGCAAACCTATTGCGAGAGATACTGGATGAAGACTGTACTTTTCTGCAATCTTAAAGTATTCCTGTGAACATAAAAGAACAGAACTGTAGGTATTCATGAACTGCTATGGCATATATGCAGAAACACCCACCATCTACGTATGATACGCTAAACAAAAGTAACATATCACCTAAAAGAGACTGCTGGGCATGCAAAGTCAGGCATAAATTTGAGATCGAAATAAAATTCAGAAAAAAGGTATGATTACAATATTCGTACCCAGATTTTTATATGAGTTTAAAAATGTGTTTTCGTTAACTTTCTTAAAATTTCTTTGAAACCCTGGACTCAGTAACCTATTAAAGTTAAATTGTTAAAAGAAGAACATATGTACCATGGCTGCTGCTCTTATGATGTGATTAGACAGGTTGTATCTGGATTCCCCTTCCGAATATTTCCCTGGCGAAGAAACATAACAGTTTCGTTCATACAAGATCACCACTTGAGAGTGCAGAAAACACCTACGTTCTAAAATATTAGAGGGAAAATTTTAGAACTGACCTCTAAAAACATTCAACCGAGCATCTGGTGGACCCCCATCAGGCGAAAAATACTTCCCAGAGAGTATACCCATTGCAAGGGGGCTATAAGCTAGTAAACTGATCCTAAAATATTGAATTGAACTTTCTCAAGAAATGGGCAAGGGCAGGTCAAAGTTCAAACAAATTTTCCCTATAGTTTCATGCATGATAAATAGTTTAGTTTTTACTGAAATCTAACCCTTGAATACCTCTCATGATGACAGCATTCAGCCAATCCAGAATCAAAAGTTCGGCAGAGCAAGCTGTATGCGTTCTATCAAATTAACAATAAGTCAAATTAGTCCAAAAACTGATGGAGCAATACAGTAACCATTTGAGTGAGAGTATGAATTCTATCAAATAAACAACCTGCAGAGACACAATCTTTGGACGGTAAGTGCTCCTTTCAGCCACCTGAACAAACTTCATGACACCATACGGTGTTTCATTACTAAGACCAACATATCTGATCTACAAAACAGAACTTTTCAATCATTATGCCATCACCATGTTCTCAAAACATTGCAATAAAGAGGAGAAAAACACCAACAGTATGAAACTAACCTTACCCGAATCAACGGCTCTCCCAAGAGCATCCAGCTGTTCCTCTATAGGAATCGAACAAAATTGTCTGGTTGGATCATATTCAGTTTCTCCAAACATGGGAACATAGCTACAAAAACAGTCATAACTCAGCTGAAAGTTTTACTAAACGCTCGGTGCACATTGAAGCACAAGTTTCTCCAAACCGCAGTGAAGTCAAGCAAACTTCTTTGTGAAGTACACATATACAGCTGGGGGCAAGAAAGAAACTTTGAACAATATCTAGCAATGGGATATCCAGAATTAAAATTAACTTGAATTTTCCACCAATTTCACAAACAACTGAAAAAAAAAAAAAAAGTCTACATACAAACCGATCGGGCCAATGAATCTGATAAAGATCAATGTAATCCGTCTGCAACCGCCTTAAACTGCATTTAATCATTACATATCCCATCACTAAGCAAGTCATAACACAAAGTGCTTAAGCAGAACTAAAATTATGAACTATATGCTTGATCAAACCTGCCGTCAATGGCGTCGGCGATATTCCTGGCATCCAAACACTTGGGGCCATCTCGAATCCAAGCCATCTGCCCAGACGGTCCCGTAACCTGCATCAACACAACGTTCCCACATCAAAAACCAAAAGAAATCTAACATAATAACACCATTGGCGTGAATTGTTAGAACCAGAGCTTTATCAAGTACCTTGGTGGCCAAAACGACGCTGTTTCGAGGGATTTTGCTCTCTCTAATCCAACGGCCGAGGTACTCCTCGCTCCTACCCTGAGTCTCTGCTCGCTGAACCACCGGGTACATTTCTGCCGAGTCGAAGAAGTTGATTCCGGCCTCGAGAGCTCCGCCGAGGAGCCGAAATGACTCCGGCAGCGAGTTTTGCTCGCCGAAAGTCATCGTCCCTGCGAAGAATGAGTCGGATTCTCAGTGGGAATGCAAGGGACAGTATTGGAAATGGAGAAGGGAGAGTTTGACGAACCCAAGCAGAGCTTTGAGACTGTTAGATTCGGTGCGAGGTTGACGAGCGGCACCGCCATTGCTTCCGCCGGAGAAGCTCCCTTGGAGTCTGTGAATTGCTAGAGGGGCGGCGGGGAACGAGAAAATGGAAGTGACGGATTTCGGCGGTTCTTACTTTGGATGAGCAAAATAAACGTGAAATTTTGGTAAAAATTAGAATTTATAAATTGACAGACACCAATTCTCTTGTTTGGATTCATAAATATAGAAATTTAGAATTTCCTCATGAAAAAAAAAACTTGGAATTTGGGACCTCCAAATCCCAAGTTTAAATTCCATGTAAATAGGTGTCATTTCTCAATTTCTATGATTGAGAGTTTAAAAATAACAAATTCCGTATTCAATTCCATTGTTCTTTTAGGTTAACCAAACAAGAAAATTTACAAATTCTAGAAAATAAAATCTCGTCATTTCAATTTCCGTCATTTTTAAATTCCTTAATAATCTTAAATTTCTTCATCCAAACATAGTGTTATACTTGTTTTGGTCGGGATTTCAGGGGGTGGGTTGATAAAACGTGGGCAATGCTATCCGTACACTAATTTTTAATTTTCATCTGCTCCTCTCAAATTTTTATTGTCAAATTAAATAAATTGAAAAAAAATTAGTAGTAAAAATCTATGTGCATAAAGTAAAAGTGGGTATGTAAATAATATAATCTTAAAAAAAATAGGTATGTGTCATTTAATACTACGATTCACTTGTAAATGAGAGGTTTTAAATTCGATTCTCGTCAATGGTGAATTTAAACCATATTATTGCTAACTCATTATCAGACTAAGCTTATCATCTCCCTTTTAATGAAGATAATATCGTTTGTTCAAAAAAAAAAAAAAAAAGTAAGTGAATAATACTATTATAAAAATATAGAGCTATTATTTTTAAAAAAACTAATAAAAATAAATTAAAAACTTTAAATTTTAACGATAAAGACAAAATAAAGAGTAAAATGAATAGTACCATAATTGACTTTTGAGTGTAAAAATATAATTTTTTTCGTTAAAATAAACAATATCAGTAGGTTTTTGTTAAAATTCCCATTATTTTTACACCACTGCATATTATACAATTTAGCATCTTCACACATGCTAGTATGCTCTCGTTTGGCAAGTGTTTTTAAACAACTAAAAAATATTTTTAAAATTAATTCTTAATAAAAATATAAATTAATCATGAAAAAAATACTTTAATGCTCCTTGTAGGAAAACTTTAAATGCTTTTAAAATTCAAAAATATTTTCTTTAAAAAAACTTCCAATTGTTTAAAAACATGTCAAACGAAAAAAATTAACTTTTCAAAATTATTATATAAACCTTAAAAGGCTATTGCCCTAAATTTTTTTTAAAAAAATTATTATTAACACTTTAAAAATCTCATTTTAAACTTCAAATTTTTTATAATTAGAAAAAAACAAAAAAACTTGTAACGCTCTCAAAAATCCAATTACACATTGGGCAATTCTCAATTGCACCAATAGTACGCTTTTTTCAGAAAACCAAGAATACTCACAAATTAAATTGTTAAAATTGAACCCGCACCTAAATACAATATAATTCCGCTCTAAAACACAAAAAGTTGCAACCTTTTCCAGATACCAAACAAGACTATAATAAATCTGTATTAAGCCTGAAATTTCCCAAAATTTTACAACCCATTAAATTCCAGATTACAACAATACAACCCTAAAATTCTTGTGAGGCGGATCCAATTTCGCCTTTCCCTTTCACAACCTTCTTCGGCAGCAGATTCTGATGGATGTTGGGCATAACACCGCCGTTTGCGATCGTGACAGCTCCCAAAAGCTTGCTCAGCTCCTCGTCGTTTCGCACAGCCAGCTGAATGTGCCTCGGGACAATTCGGTTCTTCTTGTTGTCTCTGGCTGCATTTCCAGCAAGCTCAAGCACCTGTAAATCCAATCGAACCAAATCGTTTCAGTGCAATTCTGGCATTTTCTTAAAAGCCAAACAGCAACTTGAAGCAGAAAATGAACATAAGCTTAACAGTAAATTATCGAGTCCAATCAAAAGTCATTCACGATGAAAACAATTCAAAATGTAACTCGAATCAGAAGCCGAATTCAATTCCAGATTTTTCTCAGTAGCCAAACAGCACCAAGCGTCTAAAATCAGATAAACAACACAAAGCGCAGCAAGAAATTGTTAAAATTTTCGAACTTATGAAAGTCGAGTCCAATCAAAAGCCATTTTCAATGAGAACGATTCAAAATATAAAAAATCGCATTACAAACATTACTCGATTCAGCATTTTCACGGAAGACAAACAGCACCTAGAATCGGAAAATGAAAAGAGAAACGAACAATCGAAATGAAGCTGATTAGAGCACAAACCTCAGCAGCGAGATACTCGAGGACGGCGGAGAGGTAGACGGGGGCGCCAGCGCCGACACGCTCGGCGTACTTGCCGGCCTTGAGGAACCGAGCGATACGACCGACGGGAAACTGGAGGCCGGCCTTGGAAGATCGGGAGACGGATTTGGAAGCCTTGGGCTTGCCTCTGCCGCCCTTGGAGGTCGGAGAACTCATATCGAATTTTGAAATTCGGACCGGAATCTGCAACCCTAGCGGCGAAAAATCGAGAGGCAAAGCGACGGTGCGATCGGCGTGGGGCTTGAAGGTGTGTGATACTTTGAAGGGTTTGGGGAAGGGCGTGGGTTTATGTAAGAGCGAGTGCTGTGTTTTGATTGGCTGATGAGGTTCGGCGCGGATCGCCAGCGTGGAAATTTGATTTTTGGCGGAATTGGAAAAAGAGGGAAAATTTTTAGGACGAGGGAAACTTGGAAGGTGCGTCGATGGCTCAAAGTTTCGAAACTGTTCCTCCAAAACGGTGAGCTTTGGTTTGCTTTGAGAAACCCATTGTATTTGTGCTAGGCCCATGTAAAACCCCATCACGCTGGCCTGGCCACTTTTACTAACCCAGTCTGAGTTTTGCTCACCTGCACATTTTCTTGCATGAGTCATTTTTCTTCTACTTGAAGGGCGCATTTGTTTGTCCGTACTAGTTTTATTGCAAGAGTCTTTTCCCAAAAAAAAAAAAAAAAAAAAACATGTTTATTTGCCTGCATTAAGCTTTATTGGATTGGACTGGCTTAGCGAGGATTACAATTTTGTGTTTGGTGCAAGCAAGAAGTGACTTTAATGAGACTAAGTCGAACTTGTCTCGACTAAATGCTTCATTTGGTGGTCTTAGTGAGACCCCCGAAAAATAGAGGATTGCTAATCCTGTCTCCAACACATGCATTGTTTGCACGCCTACATCGTCTCCAACTACAACTCCCCACCCATATCAAGATTTAAAACTCAACTACGGTAACAAGTCCAATGAAACTAGAGAGGCTCTTGAATTTCCGATATTAGAGGAAACAACTAGCAGGCATTCTGGTGAAGGAACATGGAGGAAGTCGGGGATCAAAATCGTTCTAAATAAGTAAACACGTCATTACTCATCAGAGTGAGATTACTTCAAGGTATATAAAAAGGATAGAAATAGAACAAAGACGTGTCAATTAAAGCAAAAAATTCAGTTCATTTAAAGTGCTAGTAATCTTGATTCTCATAGTATACATGGGTTGAAGAAACCATTCAAACTCATCACCATTCTCATCCACGTGTTAAAAACACATTGACGGAGCTAGCTTAGGCTCAGCGGGGGTGGATGCCCCACTCAATTAGTATTAACTCTGCGATGCACTATTGTCATCGTTGGAAGAGCATATTTGGCCGTAAAATTTATGTTGAGAAATTAGATGGGAGATCAATGGATAAATTATAACATGATTATGTTTTTATAGAGAGAGAGAGATTTGATGGTATTAGTAATGAAGTTGTCATTCAACGTTTGAAAACATGAAACATGTCGAGGGCTATTGTAATAAGTTGTATAAGTGTTTTGTTGAGTACATTCTTGAACTTTTTAATTTGTGACTTTGTTATTAGAGGATGCCCACATTCGTGTAGATCTCTAGTTTCATCCTTGTACAAACATCAGAAAATTAACACAAATATATACACATTGATCACATAATGTAACAAGAAATTCGACAATCACAATGTCACTAAAAAACCTAATTATATCTGCAATGTGACGCTATTTTAAGTCAATCACACATTTATTATTGTGTTATCGATACAAAATACCATCACATTGACGTTTCAATTACAACGTAAGTTTAGCTCCGTGATAGGCGTTTATTTCCCGGCTCAGCTCGCTCTTTTTCATGACACAAGGGTTGAAAAAGAGCAGGGTGGTTCTTGAAGTCGAAACGGTCCAAATTGGTGGGAACAATTCCCTCCAAGCTCTTCACATTGGCTCGAGCCCCATGAGCAACCAGCAACAGAGCCACCTGCACATGCCCCGCCTCTGCCGCGCAGTGCAGCGGCGTGTAGCCAGCATCGTCCACGGCATCCACCAGAGCACCATGATTAAGCAACACCTTCACACATTCGATCCTCCCTTTGAACGCCGCCCTGTGCAAAGGGGTCCAGCCATTCTGGTCCCTCCCGTTCACCTCTGCCCCTTCCGCAAGGCAACTCTTTATCCCGTGAGCGTCGTCCAACCTTGCCGCCCGGTTCAGGACGTCGTCGTATCGCAGGAAACCCAGCAGGCTCGTGTGCCCGTTCGCGGCGGCGAGATCGAAAGCCGTCCTTCCGTCTTTGGTGACGGCGTATTTCACATTGGAGCAATTTAACAGACACTTTGCGGCCCCCAAATGCCCCTTCTCCGCCGCCCAGTGAAGCGGACTCCGACCTCTAGAGTCCATAACCTCCGCATTGCCTCCGACAGAAATACAAAACTTCAACATCTCGACGTGGCCGTGAGCGGCCGCGATATGAATCGGAGTTCGACCTTCCTTGTCAACCAAATTCACGTCAATTCCATCAAGAGTCTTGTACAAAATCTCAAACAAATCGACCGGGTTCATCGCCGCCGCGTCGTGCAAGACCTCGTCTGCTGAATTACCAATTTCACAGCCGGAGGCGATCAGAACCTTCACAATATCAATGTTTCCGGACCGAACACCGAGAGATAGCAAAGACCCGGAATCCGAATCTCTCTGATTCACAACCGCACCGGCGTCAATCAGGTCAGAGACCAAATTAGCATTCCCGGAAGCTATGGCGGGACCGAGCAACGCCGTGAGCTCAGCCCCAGAGCACCCAGAAATCGCCTTGTTAAAAAACGAATCGAATTCCGAGATCCGGGTGAGCTGAGAAATCAGAAATTCAACCACGTGCGGACCCACAAACGAGATGGGTATAGTAGCGTCCCGGAAAACGTGAGGCCCGGGCCGGCGGAACAGGCGGCGGAGATGCTCCTGGTCGGCTTTCCCTGTGGGGAGCATGGAGGCCTGGACGTTGATGACGTCATGAGGGTTGGTTGTGAGGGAGAGCGGGGGCTCATCAGACGGCTGAGAGAGGAGGAGGGTGTAGGAGGAGGAAGAGAGCGGCGGGATTATGGAGAGGGGGTGAGTGAAGGAAAAGAGAGATGGGTTAGTGGTGGTGAGAGAGACGGCGACGGACATGGTATGCATGAGGTTGCTCAGCCGGAAGGTTGTGCTGCACTTTTGGTCTCGCTTGAAGTTGAGCTCCACTTCCTTCACGTCTGGCTTCACCAGCCTGTCCATGGCGAAACTGAAACTGGAAATTTTCCGGGAAAGTGATTTTCTCGGGAAAATTCGGTGTTGGGGTTTTGGATATCTGATGAAAATGGTGATTGGTTTGGTTGTTTGATCTTTTTCTTCCTCCCTTATGTCCTTTTCATGCAAAAGTTGTAATATTATTATTTTTTTTATTATTTATTATTTTTTTGAGTGTGTAAATTCAATTTTTTATTGGATAAGCTATTAAGTAATCAAGTGGTTTAATGGTGTGGACTTTGACAACGAAAGAGTGGCTGTTGGCTTGTTTGAATATGGAACTTTGAAGTTTGAGACCTAAACTTCTTATTTTTTTCAAAAATTTAAGTAAGATGATATGAAGCTTGGCACGTGATCGTGTTTAGTTAATTTAGAGAAAAACTTACATACAATCGAAATATCATTGTATCAGTATCTTAATTTAATCACGTATTATTGTATGAAAAAGAGATTTAAAATACTTAATGTTGTTGGATTTTAGATACTATTGAAGTGTCATCCCAATCTGTTGAAAGTTCTTCTAGAGAGATTGATGCAAGAGTTGAAAGTTCAACTGGGATGACCCAATGAGGTAGGTTTCGTAGCAGGCTCCATGTTTTGATAATACAATATCCATAAAGTGAGATCATATTTGGTCAAGAATTCAACAAGTAGCGGCAGATGATAAAGATCGGAAAAGGATGATTCTTTTCCTAGAAATTTTAAAGATCTTGTAATCGTGTTTGTTCATCATACATCGTACGATCAGAAATCATTTAAAATTTAAAATTTAAAATTCAAATATAAATAGTAACTAACGAAAACTAACCGCACAATGTACAATGAACGAACACGATTGTTGGATTCTTAGGATCCTTAAGAAAAGAATCTGACGAGGATCCTCTACCATAAAGATAGGCTCCTCATTTATGGAATTGTTGACCCTAAAAACTACCAAGTCTATGTGGCGCACAGGTCGAGTAATTAATAAGCTAACGACGTCCTTCAATTGTATGCAAGGCGTGCCAACTTGTCGGCTGAGCTCGGCCGAGGAGTAAAATGTATTGATGTTGCGTTGAGCGCGCTGCTGACTTCTTAATCTTGCGATTGTGGCCGAGGAAGGAACACACATCGGCCTTCAGGTTCTAGAGCTTGAAGACAAGGCTACTAGTTCTGCGAAGTTCAATATCAAATTCAACTTTCAATGTGCCGAATATAGTAATTTGTAACACCTCACTTTGTCGAGATGACGAATGAGATGACATCTGCCAATAAGGATTCGAAAATCCTTCTCGACTAAGACTTTGATAGATAACCAGTTGGCTTCGACGCAATGCTGTTTATTCAAACTGAAGGTGCTCCAGGAACAGCTGATTCTACGGCAACGGTGTTGTTTATCTAAACTGAAGATGTCACTGGTTGCCTTCACAGTGCTGTTTATCCAAACTGAAAGTGTGTTGGTGGAAAAAGAAAATAAAAAAATCTCAAGATGTTTGAGAGGTTTGCACAAGGCAATTTGTGTGTTGAATTGAAGAAACTTTTCGTGTTGCTGCTACCTCTGTATTTATAAGTTTCAGTTCTTGCTTGGCACGGCCTGGACGATAAGCAGAGATTTCAATTACACCCAAAGACTTCGTAATGGAATATTCTGAGAAGTAGAACGATGACCACATACGAATCTGGATGACAAATAAGACTCTGCATGCTAACCCTATTTTATTCCAACTTTGACTTATCTTTATCCCATCAGAACTTATCTCATCATAGCCTAGCCTACCTATGCGTCTTTCCTCACCATCATAGCCTAGCCAAAAAGTAATCATTATCCTCCATCACAATTAAACTCATCCATGCATGCATCCTAATCAAATGAATTTCAAATTCATTTTTAGCCTCCAAGTGCCGTTAGACATCCCAAATTAAATCGAACCGTACTGGTTGCTTAGGATATAATTCGCATACCATTTATCTAGTTTAAGAAGATATAGATAATTAAAAAATAATTATTATGATAAAACCA